AGCGTATAAGCCACTGAACTATCAAAGTCAAACACCAATTGCTCTAGTTGTAATCACTGTTGATAGCAGGTCAAAGTAAGGCTACTAGTATCCCTTTATATATCTCTATCTCCTTCGTACATACACATGCAACCTACCCCCGTGTGCGAACGTTTATTCGGTAAGCTCAGGCATACGTTTTATAGTTGTGTGTCTCCGTCTCGAAAACTTTGTCGTTTCGTATGAGTGCCCTTCAATCATATTTGTCAGAGTGATAACTTATTTGACATCGACGCGCAATTTGAGGTGTCCTGTTATCAATCTTCAATATAAAATTGTACAGTGCCCGGAAATACGAACAATGGATAAGGCCGACAGCTCGTGCTAAATTGATTCCAGGAAGAGAATGAAGACAGCGGTCCCCTGTTACTCACTTCATGCGTACTGGAGAGAGTAGCAGATGCGCTGAAGATTAGGCGGCGCCCATGGTACCGAGACTCGATCTGTTTACTTATCTCATAAGGCGTTTATCACGTAACCGTATACCGGGTGTTTCAAATTCGATCCTTCCTGTTGAAATCTCGAAAACTGTAAGAGATACGAAGTCGCTTAAACTTAGGCGCAAGCAAGGTCGAAGCTGAAACAAGTGGCATATTATGGTGTAATCTGAAATAAGCGGCGCATCACGTGCATGTAAGGTCTAGCATGACATAATCAGCGCAGATTCCTAAGTTAAGTGAGGCCGTTATGAAATTACATAGTTATTTGGCATAGATACTAAAAAATTAAAAATAAATGAAATAAAAAGAAAACGTGTTTGCCAAAGTTGCTATTGCAAATGTTCTAATGCGCTTTCGCATGGCGAGTAACTGAGTGTTTTAGTAAGTATGCTGTTTTAGTAGAATCTCACCCTTCGGACAGAAAAGGCAACAATCTATCGAGCTTTTCTGTCTGAGAGTTACGAGTACTATAAAAGTTTTATTCTATCTTGAAAATATCGATTTTACAAACATTTTAGATACCGTAGTTTGACATTGAGCCTTCGGTTTATTCACATGATTTCGGTATGTACAACCCTGTAAGTGATTGCACACAAGCATTTGTTTCTTCTGTAAGTGATATCTATTTGTACATCGCACACGGTTAGCTCGGTAAGGATTGAGTTTCATCGTAATTAGAATGGATCTGATGGTTTGCTGCTTTTAAATGATGTGCTTAGCTGCCCGATGTAAATAATCAAGTTGAAGCTACTCGTTCACACTTTCCGTTCAAGACACTATAGGCAGAAAAAGTTTCACTATTCTCACTATAGGCGCTTGGTAGTTGTTTTTGTTTTACTTCTTTTAGCTCCGAGAGAAAATTTCATTTTAAAAATCACATTGTCATGCTATCTATCTGTTCTCGTACGTCTTATTTATCAAGTCACGTACAATAACCAGGTTACCAAGACCCTTGTTTTTTTTTCATCTTGATGGCAGCTTGTCTATCTAATGTAGTGTGACAACATCGAACCTTGTCCTAGAAAGAATAGCTCTCTCCTGGCGTTTCTTTATTCAAGCAGAAACGAAGGCAAAGCCTAAATATCGAACCACCGCTGTGTGAGTGTTCCTGAACGTGTTAATACTTGAGGATGTGATTCCACAAATAATTTTATGTAAAAAGTTTTTATGATGTTGAATTTTTAAGAAAAAGGCAGTGTTTATATTGTACCTTTGAAAGAACTCAAGATATTATTTTAATGTTTGGCATCTTATACAAAGGTTTATACATATTTTAGTGTAAAAGAATATTTTGTTGCGCTACCCTTTCTTGCTATTTTCCGGTCAGATGCACCGTTTTCGTTTAAAACGACAAAATCGTCACTGCTAGCTAGAAAAAACATATGCCAGTGGTGGCGCAATAGTGTGACTTATTTTATTATAGGATTGAAAATAATGTTTAAGTACTAGTACTAAAGATAAAAAATCAAAATATTTTTTTTCAAAATTCAACTTCCTATGTTACTAAGTATTAAGGAGTGCCCTGTATTCGAGTTAAGAGATTGTTAACATTAACCATTCCACGTTTTATACCGGGTGGTTCAAATCCGGTAACTAACAAAATACCACTTAGAAAGTTTCGAAATTCAAAGTACTTCCGGAGACAGACGAAAAAAACAATTTTTCGCAAAATCATTTTAATTATTTTCTGACTTTGTAGAGGGATTTTGAAATAAATTGCACATTAACGTTGCCACTCTTGTCTTCTCTATAAGACAACAATCAGAATTTCAATATGACCTTTCGTCTATTGTCTTCCTGCATCAACTTTTGAACCTTATGAATGCCATTTTGGATTTTTGCACGGGTGTTTTTAATTCCGACTCCAAAAATGTATAACATGTTATACATTGAAATTACCTAACCTTAGTTATTTCAAAAATAAAAACCTGAATTTCCTAGGAAGGAACGAGATTATCAGTTTCTTATATCAGATTCATAGCTAAATAATTTTTATTTATTCCCGACGTTATTTGAGAGGATTTTGTTGCCACTTTTTCTCCTCTACAAGATGACGTAGTCAAATTCACAATTCGAAGTTCTTTCTGCCGACCTCCATCACAAACTTTGAGTATAGGGTTTTCTATGTTCTGACTGCGCGACCACGATGCCACGTCTGCTCGAGTTATCGGGATCTAGCTTTTGCTGAACATATTCCTTTATGAACTGATAAGGGCGTTGCGTGGGAATTACAGACTCAACCTACTTGACGCCATTTTCATATAGACGCTATATTGGAGTTTAAATACTAGTCTAATCATATTAGACGAAAATACCCCTGGTTTGCGAAACAGTTGTATAGTCTGGTTTTATTGCTGCAAGTTGCTCAATGGGGTATTCAGAACATGCTCGCATTAAATGGCTACACCAATTTTTGTGAGAAAACTTTTTATTCGACAACAAAGAATGAGAAAACGTGATTTTTGGGATTCAATCGAAAGTGTTGGCAAGAACGAAAAAACTCTTCATATAAGATATTTAGGGACCTACAAAATGAGACCACACGTAAAAAGATCCGACTAATGGCAAAAAGGTTATTGCCGAAAACCAAGGCAAACCAGGTTTTGGCACTTGTGGGTAATGTGACGATGGTTTCTCGCAGTTATTCGAAATTGTTCAGATTCGTAGGATTCGTACTTCTAAATAACCACAACAAAATTGGAGTAGACTGGTCAAGTAGTTTTTAAGAATTTCTATTTATCCCAAAACACCTGTTTTCCGGCCATCTCTACTTACTGAGCAATATATAGGGTTAGTTCAAAGAGCATTTTATATCAATATACACTAGTTTATCTTGCCGATATGAATCGCGAACCATTCCGGAAGACAAATGTTATTTTTATGCAAAAAAGGATGGGTTACGTTTTTTCTTCTAAACAAATTCAAACATTTCGTATTTGTGAGTAATTCGCAACAAAGGATGATCGACACATCCGCTTTGTTTTAAAATGTGTTCAGTAACGTATGTCTTTCGAATATCGTAGCGCATTTGTTCAATTACTCACAAATTTGAATTTGTTTAGAAGAAAAAATCGTAACCTTTATTTTTCGCTTAAAAATAACATTTATCATGCGGAATGGTTCGTGGTTCATATCATCAAGGTAAGCACGTTTATTTTGTTATTAAATGCTCTTTGAACGAGCCCTGTAGACTGCTCAATAGATGGCCGGAAAACAGGTGTATTGAGATAAAAAATTAGAAATTTTCAAAAAACTACTTGACCAACATACTACAATTTTGTTGTTGTTATTCAGAAGTATGAATCCTATGGGTTTGAAGAATTTCAAGTAGTTGCGTGAAATTATCGTCTCATTACCAAAAGTGCCAAAAACTGCATTTGGCCTCGTTTTTCGGCCATAACATTTTTGCTATTAGTCTGATCTTTTTACGAGTGGTCTCAATTTGTAGGTCTCGTAAATGCCTAAAAATCTTATATTTAAATTTTTTCGTTCCTGTCAACACGTTCGATTGAATCCCAAAAAACACGTTTTCTCATTCTTTGTTGTCAAATAAAAAGTTTTCCCACAGAAATTGGTGAACTCATTTTATGCCTCCATGTTTTAAATACCCCCTTGAACAACTTGCACCAATAAAACCAGACTTTACAATTATCTCGGGGAACTTTGCTAATATGATTAGACTAGACTACTAAGAATGGATCTTATCGTGACATAAATAAAAATGTATTATATTCACAACTAAATGGAGAATCAAAAAATCCATCGTGCAAACTTTTAATATAGAGTCCATAAGAAAAAGCAAAGTTGATGATGAGGATCGGAAGCAGAAACATCCAATTGAGAATTTGACATCGCCTTTCAGAATAAATCCGGTATACGAAACAAATAACTATCTGAAAATTCTATTTTTTTTAAATAACCAAGATTTGGTAAGGTTCATGTATGACATATTATACTGGGTGTAAACGTTATGGTAGTCATTAGTCATTAGTCATTGAAATGAGTAATAGGGGGGTCAAAACAAGTCAAAAAGTTCATATGACCCATGGTCCAAATGTCAATAGATTTTTGTCTAAATGGCTTTATAGTTTACAACTTTAAGTGTTTTATACCAACCACAATCTTACTAATTTTTATAATCTAATCTAAAACGTTTTTAAATAAATGGCATTAAGTTTTTCTAAGTTAAGCCAAAATTTGTAGTCAGTAAGAAAGTAAGTTTCATTAAATTGAATATTTAAAACACACTTGACAACAGCGCGTCGGTCATCATCACTCTTATTGAACAGGCAATCGATCGCAAACGGTAACAGTGGTTAGTTATCTTTTGCATAGTTTTGCGGCGTTGTCAGATTTACTTTACTTTAAAGTCGCTTTTCTCTAAAAAAATGCCATTTTGACCTCCATGTTATATGAAACTTTTTGCTTCTTTTAACCCCGGCTATCACCCACTTAAATAATGACCATCATAACGTTTACACCCTGTATATTTTTCGAATCAGAATTGAAAACTCCATGAAGTCTATTTGAAAAAATAAAGTTATGTTCAAGGACAAGAGACGAAACGTCGTAGTGCAACTCTAATTATACCAGCTTGTAGAGCAAAAAAGGAGCAATGTCAAGGTGCAATTTATTATCGCACAACAAATAGAGTCAGGGAAAAATTAAAACGATATTTGGAAAATTCTGTTTTTCCGTGGTGAGGGCCAAATTTGAAATTCCCGGTATACCCTGGGAACTGATTGAGCTATAGGATGAACTGGAAGCCTGGACAGTAGGTCGGCCAGAAGGTGGCTGCAACACTTATAGGAGAACGCTAGATAACCACCCGCTTCCGAAGAGAAAGTGGTTTGACATAGCTGCATCGAGTCTAGAATCGTGGTACTCTCATGACAGAACCCATATTGCCTGTTATGGCACAGCTGTACCTGTACGCCTGAGGTTGCTTGAATCGGTCTTTGAAGGGTCTATCCACCTACCTAACCACCCACCTAACTACTGAAACATTGATGGAAGAAAAGTCGTTCTGCTCAGATTCTTTTGAGTCTCTTAGGAAATTCTCGAATCTCTTTGGAACTTCTAAGGTCTCATGTTTTCCCCATCGTATAGGTTCATATAAAATCCACTGAAAAAATTAGCAACCCTTGGCTAAAATAGCAACAGAAACGTGCCTTAAATCTTTTTGAATTAGCTTAGGTCTCCTTGGATTGCCTCGGATTAATCTTTTAAAACTGCCTCCGTTCTCGTTCCAGTGAGATCTTTTGAAACACCTTGAATGGCCTTGGATTTCTTTGAATTCCATCATTTCCTGACACGAAGACATACAATCTCTTCTACGATCATCCTCTCGGACTAAACGACATTCCAACCCTTTGGAAAAATGTCAGCGACAAAACACAAAAATTGGCGGGGATAAAGTCGGAAGCACATCAATACCTCAGCAGAAATCATATCGATAACTTTGTCTTATCTTTTCAAGCATAGCGATGTTAAAACACCACTTCAAAGTGAAGATAACAGATATGTTCCATAATTTGGAAAAGAAGAAAGAAGGCAAGACGGTAAGCGCGAATTAAAACTAACATCTTTTTAAATCTTCATTAGTGTCCGCTTGAATGCGTTAAATCACCAACACACCTTTGAACCTAATTATAGAATACATTCAGGGGAAACGCAACATTGCATTTTGCACCTGTATACTATAAATAATATTTCTATCAACATTACATATTAATTGCGTACTGGAGCCACGAAAACACAGGGCCGTATCTAGTGCGCGGATGCTTATCATCGACACACATTCATTTCACACATATACAGGGTGTCCTGAAAGTTGGGACTTTCCTTTTCAGGAACAACTCCGTTTGAAATAACAAAGCTAATATGTGGTGAAATAATAGGGAAAAAGTAAAAAAATAAAATAAAAAGTCCAACCAATTCAGAAAAACAGAAGATTCAATGACCATACCATATACCAATGCAGCCCAAACATTCAAAGTAAAATTTTTGTTGAAAACGTGACCGACGGACTAAGCAAGGATTTTCCAATAACCACATATAAGTATTTCTGAAATTATTCACTCCGTTACGCGTAAAGGTTGAATCGTCTGTGAGTAATATGGACTTCAATTTCAACTCAGGATTATTTTTGTTGTTACAACAATCATTCAAAAAAACGTATTCGCAGGAAAATCTTCACCTTGTACAAAAGAGTACAATCAGATTGCACCATTCGGTGTTGTCTAGGTCTCGCATTGTGGCCACCTCGATATTGCTGCAAACGTTAAACAAACATACACGGCCCTGAATAACAACGTCTGTCAAAGCGATCTGCATACACTCGCGAAGCCTCGATAGCATTTTGTAGGTACTCACCATAAACTAAAATCATGTCGACAAGTTCGATATTGCTGTACGGTTGTGCTATTTTGGTTTTTTCGAACGGATTAGTAAATAAATTTTTTGTTTACCTACGCTGCCGGTGCCTAGGTTGAGTACTGCCGTGCGTCGTGCCTTCTCACTTTTGATATGATCGAGATATAGGAGCGCATCAGGTTTGGTTTAGGTTTTATTCATTTTGCGGTGCCTAACAGCTTGGTTATATTAAGACTTTGGTGTATATGCTACTATGAAAAGCCGCTTATTTTTTCAAGATATTTACGTATTGTAAATAGTCCCAACTTTGCGGTTAACTATAGAGTAAGATCCCAGGGCTGACAGATGTAAAGACCAAGCGTGGGACATTGAGTAGCGATTATATGTAATTTGAACGCCTGAGTAGGTGCTATGTTGGGTAGATGGTCGATGAGAAAGGTAAATAGAAATAGGACTAACTTAATCCCGAATGGCTTATTTTTATACGTGTATATACAGGGTGTAAAGTTAGTAGTGGATCAATGGAAGTGAGGTGACAGAGGACCTCAAAACACATCGAACGAACCCCTACATGCGTGGTCCGAAATTTTATAGTCCAGGAGATATTTGCCTCCATTATAATTTATACACAAGCGACACCTTCTAATAAAATTGTCCTTTAATCTTTGAAATGAATTTGCGTTTTCCATAATTTTTATTTTTGCTTCATGAATTTTCTGACGCCATCGGTTGGCATTTGTATATTCATATATATATATATATATAGATTATCCCCATATACAACCCCCATATAAAAAATCTAGAGGATTTAAATCGGGTGACCTTGGAGGCCATCGTATGTGTCCACCTCTACCTATCCAACGCCCAGAAAAGGCACTGTAGCAAGCTGAAATTTTCAGGGTTAATTCTACATGGATTGAAATAGTTTTTACAATAAAATGAATAATGAAATGCAACTTCAATTTTTTTCCGTCCTCCAAAGTGGTGGAATGGAAGAGATTTTTCACAAAAAAATGAATTTAAGATTTTTTGCATTGATTTCTAAGCTCTGTTAAAAAGTGATATAACCATTGCTAAAACTAACCAGTTAGCTCATCTCAGAAAAAAATCGTTTAGTTGTAATTATGACTGAAAGTTCATTATCCCGTTTTTTTTCGAAATTTCACAAAATTGCAAATATCTCCTGAACTGTAAAATTTCGGACCACACCTATAGGGCTTCATTCGATAGGTTTTGAGGCTCTCTATCACTTGACTTGCGTTGATCCACTACTAACTTTACACCCTCTAAATTTCGTTAGATATTATTACAAAGTAATATCCAGCACTGCCAAAAACAGAGTGTCTCGCTATAAATTGACCTCACCCTAACTTGTTCGCATGACGGTTTAGAAAAAATGTTATATGCCTTATCTAATGAAAAAAATTAGCGAATCACTCAATCTGATGGTAGGGATGAAACAACACCTTACATCCTCACTAAATCAAGGCCTTAAAGATAGAAATATTTGACAGGGTGGCGTTTGATCGATTATAATGTAAGAGTTGCTAGCTGTACTATTTCACTTACCAGGATTTGTCTCGATCAATAACACCACATGTCCTATTTCAAGACTGTCGATAATTACATTCTCTTACCAGATGTGTTCATATCAAACGAGGAGGATATTATTTATATTTCTAACGTGAAGACGAGGCTTCACTCACAACAGACAGTCCATTTATTTTGTACCTATTATGAAAATGAACACAATCGGTTATTGTTATGGCTCAAATACCTGTGATTAAGTGTGAACTATTCATCCGGTGCTGTCGACGCTTCGTCGTTATAGCTCGAAATTCTTTGACTTTTTTATAATAGAGATCGTCGAGAGCTTCGGGATATGATGGTATGGTATTTGGATTGATTATCTATGATCACACCTCTGAGCTGTATAAATATATTTAAGCATGTGTGTCTAACGGTACCAGAAAAAAGATAGAACCAATGAGATGTACCCCACACTTGTCCAGGTCCTTCAAGCCTTCCCAATTATTTTGTTGATTGAGTTGATTCCACTTCACGAATCGACAGACGAACAATTTAGTAATCATTGAGCATAACCCTGATAGTGATATAAAATGCTAGTTAGCAAATATTATAACTAAGAAATCCGGTAAAAATTTCAATATTCTCCTAATACCTTAGAATGGCTAGTCCGATTTCTTACAAAACTACTGATAAGTCATAGGATTGTTTAGATATTTTTTTTCATATCGAAGCAGCCGCGCAGGCAGAAGCCTAAATGCCGGAACACCGCGGCTGCTATGATGATTCCAAAAAAAATTTGTTAATACGATTTTTGAACTGCCTAAGGTTAGTAGAACTGGGAAAAGCTTCTTCTTGTAGATTGTTCCACAATCTCGACACCCTCGGGACAAAGGAGCGGTCGTATCGGAAAGTTCTGGATATACGGAGTTCGACACGGTTAGGATGGGACGCCAAAGTCAGGCGGGTCTGATTCTTGATCAACGAAGCTTACTACAACTTTGATCAGCTCTTTAACAGTGACTCTTCAGAATTCCAGTAAATCTTTTTATTTCGTGTTTGCGCTTTTTCAAATTTTTGTGATTGTAATAGTGTTTATTGATCCCGAAACCGAAATAGGAAATATAGAGACGGGACAATTTGATTAAATCCGTTTTTGCAAATTTGCAGATTCTTGCTCATGAGATGAAAAAGTCATTAAAATTCGTATATTGGTAGAAAAATCATTTAAATGATCTGTATCGCCCGCCGAGCTTATCAGTCAAGAGAATTTGGTTTTTATTACCAATTTCCATGAAATTTGGCCATATACAGGGTGCGGCAGAGATTATGGACGGTTTTAAAAAAATCATAAAATAGTTAATTTTTACTCGAAAACAAATTTATTGATGGAATCAGGTTCACAAGGAAATAGCATTTGAGACAGTCAAGTGTGGAAAATCACATCAGGCATGTAATGGCCGAAATCGTTGATGCAGTGCTGGAGGCGTTCTTGGAAGTTCGCGTAGACTCTCTCCAACATCGCTCTCTCAACTTGGGCGACTTCCACGCGAATTTCGCCCTTCAATTCGTCCAGAGTTCGGGGCTTGTTCGCGTATACTCTAGCCTTGAGGTGTCCCCATGAGAAAAAATCGCA